TTTGTAGGGGATTTTAGTCAGCAGGAGATTTGGTTTATGAAACATTTTCTCTCGTTGTTGATTTACTGTTATAAAAGCAACCTTTGAATGGAAACGAGAACGACTACGGTAACTTCTTCGCACGCGATCAAATCTCGTACTCGTAGTCGTACTCGTAGTCAAATCTAAAGCTCCCTATTATACAGCTCAGTGGGCATTCCCCCCCTGGACATCCGCCATTTTGAATAATATCAGGGGGGTGAATGCCTCTCAAACGCGCACTGGCTAGGACCATGGCGTCAGCATTTGATGACGAATTACGGGTTACGCTAAAATCATAGCAAAATCATAGGAAAAACAAAGAAGTCGGCCTTCTGTGTACCTTATCACAGAGTAGATAAGACATACAGAGACGTAACTGACCGTTGTAAACACTGCGGAAGATTACGTTATCATGTACCCACTTTTTTTCAGGCGACCGGGCGAAAAATGATCAACTGCGCGTGCTCAGCAAGTTTAAAGTAAGTCGTCATCAGGTCCTCATCCAATCAGATGCATGCATCTAGTAACTTGCCGAGCATGCGCACAAAAAAAGTGGGTACACTAGTTACGTCTCTGTATGTCTCTACTCTGTGACCTTATTCTGTGATCCAGGCCCCTACGCGGAAATTTACTAAATTCCGTACGAAAAATGTTCATCATTTTATGTGAAATCTTCATAATTTTTCAGCCAACTGTTTGAAAGTCGAGCTTTTCTATGCCTCTAGTAAACTAGAGAAAGTGGTCTTTCAGTAGAAGTAAATTTTAGAAACATTTTGTCATTTTATCTCAACTTATTTGATGAGTGAAAAACAAGTTTGGCAAAAAAGCCGCCAAGAAACATCGGCAAACTTTTGTGTTTTCAGGACTTTCGGTGAGTAATTTGAAAAGAACACAGCGAATATGGGCTAAAGTTACATCAATCTTACTTTTTCACTTATTTTTTACCATTTAGGTAGGCTATGTATCACTAAAGTGAGTATTTTCGTGCAAAAACAGAAACAAATCTTTCAACAAATTTAAACTCTCCCCAGTCCTTTTTCACCTGTCAGAGAACAAATTTTTTCTGAAATTTTAAGAAAAAAATCATTTTCTAAAGTAAAAAACAAAAGCTATCACCTTTCAGAAGGAACAAATAACATGCCAGTTAACTGTACAATTCACAAGTGCAAAAGTAATGAATATTATAGCAGTAACAAAGAAAATAAGCTAAAAATTTCATTCCACAGGCAAGTGTTTATTTTTGCAACAATGTATTAATCAAGCCTTACTGCAATAATTGTATTACACATCACCTGACATGGATAAATATATAGTATTTTTTAAATAAATTACATACTGAAAACATTTGACCATACCAGGCATACAATACACATTATATAATTACAGTAAAACTATGTACAGTAAAGCTGCACAAACTGTAAGTACTCAATGACCACTTCCACAATTGGCCTGAATGCCCATTAACCCATTGTCTTTGAGTGGCAGGACTCTCCAGTTGACGAATAAAATCACCTAGTGTTAGAGTAAAATACTAAAGTACGGCACATCAGGGTGCATTGCCACTTAAAGGGTTAACAACTGTTCTACTGTGTTGGTGTTGTGTACTCAGGTGAACATGATGTTTGCAATGTTACTCTGAGTGTTACTCTTGGGCTGGTATTCCAAAGGTCGTAGGTTTGATTCCCACCATGGCCATGCATATTTTTCAAGCTTGCCTGGTGTGGATACACACTCAGAGTAACATTACAAACAGTTCTACTGTATATCACAAGTGGCAATTGTTCCTTACAAGGCCCTTGTAAAGGGCACAGAAGAGAACCAAAATGTGAAATTAACCCATTGAGTTGCATTGCGACTCAATGGGTTAATGTCTGTCTAACTCCAGATGATTTTACTCATCAAGGGGATAGCGCTGGTGCTTAATGGGTTAACTTGCCTATCTGCCCATGTGTCTAGTTAGCCCCAGGCACGGATTTTCTGGGGGGTGCGCACCCCCCCAGAAATGATTTGCACCCCCCAGAAATGATTTGCACCCCCCCCCCAAAGGCATGTGGCACCCCCGTAAATTACATATATTTTGATTTGATAGTTTCATATTTGATTATTCTTACTACTAAATTTGTAAAATTACCAATATTATGGTCTCAGATCTCGCCATGCAGGCCTAGAAAACAAATTTTGCTAAACTTTTTCCTTGGCCTTTCCGGGCGTTGCCACCACGCCCCGGCCAAAGCAAGCAGCAGCACCCCCCCAGATATTTATCCACCCCCCTGAACGAAAATATGAAAATCCGTCTCTGGTTAGCCCATTGAGTCGCATTGCACGCTACTTTACTATTTTACTCTGTCTAACGCCAGACTATTTCTAACGCCAGACAATTTCACTTGTCAAGGGGATAGCGCTGGCACTTAATGGGTTAATTTAACCATAACAAGTACACTACAAATCAAAGTCTGTTTACACAACAATTGAACACTGTGAACATATCTTCAAGCTGTATATATATGTTTGCCAGAAAGACAACAGCATCAACAACATGAAGAACCTAAAAAGCAAAATGATTCTGGAAGTTTGTCGTCATTTTCTCCTGGATGGCAACAAATCTGTGTTTGCAGACCACGAGCTAGGTAGTAGGTGCAAACGAAGATATGAATATGATTGCAGATGACCACCAAGTAAATCTAATAAAGTGGCAGCAGACAAATTTTATACGTTACGTCTCTTCACATATGGGAAGCACTACATGCCCGCTGTGGAAATCAGCTTCGGTTAACAGGGTTAGAATGGGTAAATAAAATTTTTCTATCTATCTATATCTACAATCATACAGAATGGAATGTCCAGTGACAGGCACCATTTAAGCAGATCGATCTTGTTCAAAAATCAATAGTTATAGCAAATAAGAGTAAAATAAGAGTAAAATAATACAATACTTATCTTTTAATTAATGATTCGTCGGCCTGAGTCCACAAATATAGCCCAAACTGAACCAATTCGTTGCTGTTGGAACGTTTGACTTTTCAGTCCGTATATTAATAAAGCAAAACAATGTCGCTCCATAAAATATAAACTTTAATACTCGATTGATTACATCTTATTATCAAGAAATATACTTTGTATTAAAATTGCTGTTAAAAAAGTTCAAAAATCTTATGCATTTCAAGTAAAAACCCCGAAATTTCTTGGTCTTTGAATTGTACTTGTGAAAATATATATAAACACACTTTCCCGCTCTGACTCCTCGTGACAGAGCCCACGCAAGAATCACGCGTGTTTTATACCTACAAAACCCATTGAACTAACAATAACTGGAACGCTACGTTCAGTAAACTGCGCATGCAAATTTTGAAGCCAAAATTTGACTCCCATGAAGCCAAATGAAGCCAGTTTTGACTCCCAGACACGCACTTCCACGCGTGTTTCTACTGCGCGATTTACTCG